TACATAAATTGATTTATTTCATAACATAATCGATTTGAAATAGATTTTACGGAAATATGACTAGTATCACATCATCCATTAACTATGGATTGATTTATTTCAAGAATTTTTCTAATTTGTGCTTTAAGGGCACATGTTAAAGGTATAATAATTAAATATTTTTCTCATTAATTACTATTGAAAAAATAAAAGTTAATCTTTACTTAAATAAATGTTTAATTAAAATGATTTACATGGAACTAGTAATGAAATCAATGACAATTTTTATTTTTTTTAATAATAATTAATGTAAAAAGAGTGTAATAATTGCACTTTTAAGCTCCACCCTGCCCTTATTTCAATATTAAACTTTGAGGGTTAAAAAATTTCAAAAAAAAGGTTGAGAGATGGATTTCAAGGAGCTCAAAAATTACATGGAATAATATACCATTTTTGTTAATTAAATGCCAAATTTTAAGTCCCTAAACTTTTTATTTTGAGTACCTTTGGTTCTCAAACTTTATTTAGTACTGCCAATAAGTAATAATGCGGTCATAACTCAATTTATAATAACACTTTTTTTTATGGTATGACAATGACAAGATATTAAATTAACGTATGTGGAGTTATGGTGCCCAAAAATATTTGGGTAATGATATATAAATAATTTTTTTATATAATTTATAAATAATATTAAATAAATAGATGCATATAATATCATGGATCTTAATAAAGTGTAAAGAGTTATTATTCAATGATATATAAAGTTGTATAAAAAAAAAAGTTGTACAATAAACTTATCTTTCAATCATTTTCCAAAATATTTTTAGTAGGGAAGAAATATAAAGAGGATGAAGAAGATTTTAGAGGTTTCTTTTATCATTTTGTATAATATTTTAATTTATAAAGAAAGTTTATTGGTGGATAGTTTTTAACTTTTAATTTATTCTTTTATCTATTTAAGTTAAAATTACCAATAAAACACCACATATTTTGCCTAACTAAATTAAAGGACCTATTTATAATGAACATATCATAAAAAAAAAAATTTAATAATTCTTTAAATGAGCTAATAGCCAGGTCATCACTTAACTTAACTGATAGAAAATGAAAAGTTAAAAACCAAAAAATTATAAGAATAATTTAAATACCAAAAGCATTCAAAATGTAAAATTTAAGAACTAAAATTCACATTTAACTGCAATTTTGTTCCTTCGGTGTCGCCGGCAGCGTTCAAAATTAAGCCAAACAGGAATATTGGCGAGCTGAGATCTTATGTTCTAGGCTACACTGCAGTCCCTTTACGTGGCACGAGCTCATTTGCTATGACTCCATTGAACCCATTTCACTTCCGGGTCGGAAGTCGGAAACACAAATATCCCGCTAGGGTTTAGGGTTTAAGCGTTCTTCTTCTGGACTTCCCATTTCCACAGTGAACTCTTCTTCAGTAAAGTTAGGGTTTTTCCTCCTCCGATTCTGCATTCGTCCTAGGGTTCATCATGTGGGCGCTGCGCCGATCTTCTAATCCTCTCAAGTAACTACCCTTCCATGTTTCTTTCTTTATGGGATGTGAATTTATGTATTTTGCTATTTGGGTTTTCTTCGCTGTTTCTTTTGCTGTCTGTTTTTTTAACTAGAAAATGGAGGGTAAGAAAAAAGAACTTGAAGTGTAAGATTTCACAATTGTTTTTGTAAATGCTTTTAGATTGGAGGAGAACTGGTAGTGGGCTCTGTTTTTCTGGTTCTATTTTTATGTAACATGCTAAAGAACAATTCTCTTCCAGGATAAGCAATAAATTTTTTAATAGTTATTTGTTGGGTTTTCTTCCATAAGATGTAAATTGTTGCAAGGAAATACAATTTTTTTTTTTTTTTAATGTAGTTCACGTCTATTTGTTTGATGTGAACCCTTGTTTGTAGGAATGGAAGAATTAGCTTAGGAAGTGCACATACTGTTTCTTCCAAGTTGGAAACTTCGAGTTATTACATAAAAGAAAAGGCTGGCCTTTTTGAATCTTCTGAATTAGTATCAAAAACGTGTATACCAGTGTTGAGATTTTACAGTTCCAGACATGCTTCTTCAAATCTATATATTGGGAGGCGTGCTCTTTCCTCAAAAGCTGGTACAGAAAGCAAAGGAGAAGAAGAAGAAGACTTGGAAGATGGTTTTTCTGAACTTGAAACTCCTGTTAGTCACAAAGCAAATGATTATGTTAATGGTGAGGGTGAAAATGAAGAACTTATGTCTGATCTGGAAGATTCTGCCGTTGATGATGATGATGTTGTTGAAGAGCCTGCTCAAGATGAACTAGGATTATCAGATACGGAAACCATTTCTGTTGAGAAAAAATCATTGAGAAGAGGTGCTTATTCTGAACTGTTTGGAGCCATTGTTTCTGCTCCTGGTCTTTCTGTTCACAAGGCTCTTAACAAGTGGGTTGAGGATGAAAAGGAGTTGAGCAGAGGAGAGATATCATTGGCTATGCTTAATCTTCGTAGGCGTAAAATGTTTGGGAGGGCATTGCAGGTAATTTAAGCATTTAATTATTATAGCTCTGTCTGCATGCACGTATTACATTGTCAGATTTCTCTCAAGTTAAGTTCTGTACATTTAGGTTCTTTTGTGCATATACTATGTAGTTGCTTATGTTGAGTTTGTTAACTACCTGAGTTCAAGCTTATTGAAAAGCCCAGACTCAGCTTAGACTGAGGTTGAGCCAATGCAAGACTTGACTAGCCACACCTGTGCTTTATTGTGCTTGGGTTTTCTCATTTATTGCAATAGAGAAGTCAGACTTGATTTTGGAGTTTACTTGTTCATTTATGTCTCAATTATATGGCTTTTGATGTTACATAATGTGGTTTTCTGATGTATTCTGAATTTAATTATTCTGGCTTTAGATGTCCACACTAAAACAACATTCTGTATTGTTTAACTTCACAATCTCAAAGGTGTGCTTGGCCTCATTGCATTTTTCTTCCTGTTTTTGTTCCACATCAATTCTTTTCAGCTCTCTGAGTGGTTGCAAGAACATAAGAAGCTTGACTTTACAGAGAGAGATTATGCTGCACATCTTGATTTGACTGCCAAAGTTCGTGGCTTGCAGAAGGCAGAACATTACATTGAAATGATTCCTGAATCCTTCAGAGGTGAGTTGATCTACAGAACTCTTTTGGCAAACTGTGTTGTCCGTAACAATGTGAAGAAAGCAGAGATGGTCTTCAACAGAATGAAGGACCTAGAATTCCGAATCTCTGCATTTGCTTGCAACCAGCTGCTTATCCTCTACAAGAGATTCGACACGAAGAAAATAGCTGACGTCTTGTTATTAATGGAGAAAGAAAATGTCAAACCCACTCTCTCCACTTACAAAATCTTAATAGACACAAAAGGCTCATCCAATGATATAGCTGGGATGGAGCAAATTGTTGAGGCAATGAAGGCTGAAGGTGTTGAACAAGATGCATATACGCAGTTTATCTTGGCTAAACACTATGCCTCAGGAGGAATTCCAGAAAAGGCTGAGGAGGTTTTAAAGGAGATGGAAGGAGATAATTTAACACAGAATCGATGGGCATGCAGATATTTGCTTTCTCTTTATGCAGAGCTTGGAAAGGCCGATGAAGTAGGAAGGGTTTGGAAGGCCTGTGAACCAAAACCCCGGGTTGATGAATGCTTGGCTGCTATTGATGCGTGGGGAAGGTTGAAGAAAATTGAAGAGGCAGAGGCAGTCTTTGAGAAGATGGTAGAAGTATGGAAGAAGCCTTCATCAAAATATTATTGTGCACTCTTAAGGGTGTATACAAGCAACAAGATGGTTGAAAAAGGAAAGGATCTTGTTAAGCAAATGGCAGATAGTGGATGCCACATTGGCCCCTTAACTTGGGATGCACTTATTAAGCTGCATGTGGAAGCAGGAGAGGTGGAAAAGGCTGACTTAATCTTGCATAAGGCAACCCAACAGAAAATGGCAAAGCCCTTGTTTATGTCTTACATGACTGTTATGGATCAGTATGCAAAGAGGGGTGATGTCCATAATGCTGAGAAAATGTTCCATAGGATGAGACAGGCTGGATATACAGGGCGGTTACGACAATTCCAGACTCTAGTCCAGGCTTATATAAATGCCAAAGCTCCACTCTATGGTATTAAGGAGAGAATGAAAGGAGACAATATGTTCCCAAATAAGCCTATGCTTGCACTTCTCACTCAAGCAGATCCCTTTAAGAAGACAGCAGTTTCAGACTTACTTGACTAAAGCTTTCAGTATTCAATGACCCTTAGAACGTTGATGCCTTAATTTAAGCACAGTTATTGCCTTTCATTGCTAGGTTAAACATCTATTGTGATTAAGGTTAAATATGTTCTTTTGTTTTTGAACGTTTCTCTGGGAAGTTCTATGGTAAATTTTATGATGAATGCTGTTGATTTTGCCAAAAGCTTAGATTATTGTCCAACAACCTTGGTTGATGTTTGCCCATTCTGACATTCATGCAAGTGAAATTCATGGGAGGCGAACATCTTACCTTGCATTACAGATTTTATTGACAGTTTGAGGGAAAAAACACTCAAAACTAGGCCTGGTAAAAATTACAGCCAATCCGACAATTGGATCTAACTTATCTGTTGTTATGAGTAAGGCTATGGGTTTAAGCTATTAATTTGGAGATGTGAGTCAAACTGAAATTATTTGAATTTGATTGATTGGGTTAAGGTCAAGTGAAGTCAACCTAAAGTGACTCAACTAAAATTATTTAATTTTTTTAAATTTAAAATTTTGATTAGTTATGTTTTTAATTTTAATGTTTAAATATAAAATAAAATTAAATACTATAAAATGATCATTATTTATTGGATTATTGGAGTCAATATTAATTTAAAAAGTTAGTGCTTATCTACTTTACTTACTAAAGAATAGAAAAAAAATTATTTTAAAACTACGTTATTTTAATAAAATACCAAAAACACTCTAATTCATATTTTAAAAATAAGGTACTTAAGTCTTTTTAAATGGAAACGATATAGTTTTTAGATAATTTTTCTTAAACAAATAAGCATTATTCTTTTTTTTTTTTTGAACATTTTTGTCGTGATGCCGACTAGAACCATTGTTGGAGGGGGAGATGAACCTTTAAGAGTAGCTAGCGCCACTTGGCCATAGAGCCAGGTTCAGCATTATTTTCCTCATTTAATATATTTATTTTACTAAATAATTAGTTAAGATTAAATTTTTATGAAAAGATAGGTAAAATATTAAAGTTTTTTAAAAGTTAATCCATGTAACCCAATTCGAAACTCATGTAAGTCATGAGCTTTATCTATTTAACCCAAAATTCAAAATAAACTAATTTGATGAACCCAAAATTTAAGATAACCTAATTCGAACCCATCTAATCCCACCTGTTAGTCCGGTCTACTCAAAACTTCAAAAGCTTTAATTGTTGTAGGAATAAGTTACACATGCATCACAGACATTGAATTATTAAGTTCTATTCAATCAATTTCTACTCGCCATCCCTTTTTAGTTTGTGTTTTTCCCCACTGGAATCAGATAATATGAAAATTGTAAAATCATTTATCCCTGTGTTTTCTTAATCAGGTCCCATAAGGCCGTAATAAAATCTCCATGGCCCATATCATCAGAGATGAAAGTTTATAATATATGCACAGATGATCCTAAGTAGTGGTCAAGAGTCGGAAATCTTATATTAAAGATGTGAAGTTTGAATTTTAGAATAGATAGGGAGGGATTTAGGAAGGGAAGAAATATTTATTTATACACAATTCTAATACATATCATTTATATAGAATTTTAATTTTTTATTTTTTTATTTTAAATAATTAAGATTTATCATAATTTTTTTATAAAAAAATAATTATTTTTAAAAATAAGATAAAATGTAAATATATCTCAATCATTCATAGTTAAAATATAAATAATAAAGATTTATGTGTAATTGATATGTATAAAAGTTTATATAAATAGATCCTAACTTTATTTTTTTTTTTTTGTATTAATCTTTCGATATCCAATAATTATATTGGATTTCAATTAATTTAGAATTGAATTATGTTAAACCTCATAAAAAAAAATTTCTCTTAACATTTGTTTCTTCACTCATAAAATTCGAATTCGCAACTTTATTTAAAGGGAATCGAATTCTTTCTATTCGAATAAAAAGGTTGGTGATATAGATCTTAACTCTATACAAGATATTAGTTAATGCAAATATTTTAAATAATTTAGTGACAATTTATTTTAAAATTTTAAGAATTCTTGGTTTCCTGACCATTACACAAAACTGGAGTGGAAAAAAAAATATATATATATATATTGCTTCGTTAATGGTTGTGAAACCCCTAGTCAATCGGCTTACTTGAACTTGTTCAATTTGTATGGCGTGCACGACTCCTGTACAAGTAGATGGGTTCAACTCTACCGATTCGATGTCAACAAATTCAAAATAAATAAATAAACAAATAAATAAATAAAATAAAATAAAAAGGGAGATCAATAGAGCATTTTTACTTTTTAAAAATGTTATAATTATAATATTAGAAGGTATTATAAGTTTAGAATATGAGATATTATTATCTTATAAAAAATTAATATAATATATTATTATATAATTAATTTTTTTATACTTATAACTTGTTAATATAAGTGAAAAGAACTTAATTTTTCTTAAATAAAATTTTGAGTTTAAATCTTATAAATAATAAAACAAGTGTTGAAAAAGTTGTTTTCCTTGTAAGGTAATTGGAGATTAACTTAAGTCAATTTCAAATTAGTTAAATTCTAACCGTGGCTTTTAAATATTGTGAATTTAGTATCAACAAAATAAATAATTAATTTTTTATTTAAAAATTCACTTATAATATTATATGTATATATTTATTTAATATTATATTATATAAGGGTGACAATAAGCCCCTGTGAGGTCAAGAAGTCCCTCCTCATTCTAGTCTTCTTGTCCTCACGTATGGTAGGGATGGAGATCACTGTAAGGATTTTTGACATGAGGTGGATTTTGCTCCTCTCGATTCCTTGCTAATCTTTACCAAAATATGAATTTTTTCACCTATAAAAACCTAATATTCAATCATAATGAGCAAAATTTTAAAAGTTCAAAGACAATTAACTAAAGTTTTCCAAATATAAAATCAAATATAAATTATCCAAACATAAACAAAGATAAATCAAATATAAATAACTAAATGAACAGACTTATTCCTTGTACAACAGTAACAACATCTACATTCCACCTCTGCAGACTGTAAAAATATAATTAATTGTAATCAGTAAAATCAATCAACAAGTAGTAAAATCAAATATAAATTGTCCAAAAATAAACAAAAATCAATCCAAGATGAATAATTGAATTGGGTTTGAAATGTATTAATATATTCGGTTGGATTAAATTTTAAAAAAAAAATTTATTTATATTTTTAATTTTTCACAAAAATGGAATCCTCATGGAGCCACAAGGCAAGAAAAATTCTTCATATAAATTCATGAGAGAAAAATAGATCCCATCCTTGCCCCATAGAGATGAATATTCCTCCTTTCCCCGTCCTAGCAGTGGGGATCAAGAAAAATTGTCATCCCTAATATTATACATTTCTTTTTTGAACAATTTTGCAAAGGATCGGATTCGAACCGTTACCTGAGAGAGGATGGATGCACTTAAATGTGACTTGACGCCACTAGACCTGAAGGTCTAAGTGCCTAATATTATATATATTTTTTTGAACAATTTGTCAAGGGGCGAGCTCGAAACCCGCCCAAAGAGAACGGAAAATGCATCTTTAGCTGGCAGAATGCCAGTTGGTCGAAGGGTCAGGTGCTAATATTATACATATTTAATATCATATTACAATTATAAATGTATAATTTTAAATGATATTGTAAATATTAAATGTTGATTTACTTTAAGACTTTCCTTGAGTGTTCTCTGTTGGGACCATTATCCCAAAGTACATTATCTAAAACAAAAGTAAATTTATACTTTTTAATTAATTTCAATATCAAAGTTAAAAATTTTAGATGTAATGAAAACTAACTAATCAAATTTTTACTAATCTTAATAGATTTAATTTTTTATTAGAGGTATTTAAAT